AGCATCTTTTCCCAACGGCTGGAAGCTCTGCGAGGTCAGAGGTTGCTTGCGCTTTGCTGGTGTTTACGTCCACCCCAGTGTCGGCACGCTCCAGAGATCAGTCCTTACCAGTGACTGACTGAAAGAAGTGAGAGGACAGAAAGGGGGACAGCATTCTTCCCTCCACAAACTCCTTTGGGAAGGAGATTTTTACGTAACTAGGTCATTTTTTGTCTGATCTCAGGCTTTAAAAATATCCCCCTTAGCCCACAATTAAGAAGACGAGCAATCGTTTCATTCTCAGGCACGTGTCATTCAGATGGTGTCCCGGGTCAGAGGGAGTGAGTCGTGACCTGCAGACACAGCCGCAGGTCCCTGTGTCAGTGCCGGTCCCTGGCCTATAAAATTCCTCAAGTAAGTGGGCAGACTGTCTTCTCGGAGTTGGCTGGTCCATCAGACAAGTCAGGAAAAGCAAACTTGCTGCAGATGACACCTACGAGGCCTTGGACAGAGGCTGGAGCACAGATCTGAACGGTCTGCAGCCAGCCCGAGTCCCTCCCCGACGTGTCTGTGCCCGGGAGGTAAGAGCAGTCACCGGAGCACCTGCTTATGGTACAGGCTCGGCAGCTCTGGAACCTGCAGACGCCTTGGCAACTGGACTTGTGCAAATGACTCAGAAAGCCTCCCAGCAGGAGTCACTCGAGAAGGGTGCGGACTATAAAAACATGTCTTTGACTTGGATTCGATGCTCTACACACAGAGCCCTGGTTTCTGGCCCATGCGTGGTTGTGGTCCCTGTGTTGGCTGACTTGGCAACTTTAAAGGCTAGAAAATGACGTCCCGGAGAGAATGAACAACAGCACCATGAAAATGTCAGCCCAGTTTGATACCTGTGCCCAGGTGCCCCGCACTGCAGAACCCCGTGAAAGGAGAAGCAAAGATGAGTGACGCAACAGGCCCTGCCTGCAAGGGGCCTGGGAGCTGCGTGCAGGGAGGTGGAGTGCGGAAGCTGGAGGGGATTTAGTCCCGCATACCCATGTCGTACTTTTTGCCTTTCACGCTTTTTAATCCAACATAGCCTTTAAGTCCCACCACATCTTTGGCGGGAGGGAAGAGGAGAATGGTTGTTCTCATTTTCAGAAGAAGAAATGAACACCCAGAGAGGCCAGGGGGCCAGCTCAGCGTGCCAGGGAGGACACAGTGGCAGAGCTGGAAGAAAGACTCGGGCCCCCAGCTCTGGCCTGCAGCTCTTGCTAATCCGTAGGTAAGGCACACAGGTGAAACCCCACTCAGCCTTGTGGCTTCACCTTCAACATGAAAGGTAACAATGAGTGAAAAAAGTCCGACAAAGTGAGGAGAAACGAAGGCAGAATATATTAATGGGTGCAACATTTTAGAATCAGAAAAAAAAATGAAACATTCTTATTTTACCAAGTAGTTTATACTAAAGGAAAGGCTAGAAGGTTCTAGAAAAATAAATGGCATTCTAACACCGCATTGGAGTGGGGGAGTTGAGCGTGACATCTAAGGAAATTTAATTTCTCTCGAGAACCAGCACCTGTGCCTCTGCAACTTTCTATTTCTCCTAAATTAAGTCCAGGGTAGTACCTGCCAATACCAGTCACCTTTGGAAAGAAATGAGAAGCGAATACCTGACATCTAATACTTTGTGGCAGACTCGCTTCTCTAATTATTGGGGATGAATCTTCGCCTTGTTGCTTCGTTATGGCTTTTCTGTTTTCTGCAAATTGAAGTGGTGTCTCTGGTTAGTCTTCCATGTGAGGGAAAATGCATTCCTTACTATGTTGGGTTGTATTTTTGAAATGAGTACAAGTTCCTACTTTTTTTTAAAGCTACTAATTCAAAATAATCAGGATGCCACAATAGTGCTACACTCTTCCTTACATGAACTCGACTGGCACAGAGTGACCCCGATCATGAAACATCTTCTAGTGCAAGCCCTTCATTTCCGTGACATGAAAAGGAAAGATAACCGAGGTGAGGCGGGTTAATCGCCAGAGTATGACTACAGCCCAGGTTTTTGGACCAGCAGTCTCACCTCGTAGCTAGACATTGGCTCTAAGGCAGTAAATACCTTCAGAGGAACTTGGATGAAGCTGTTGTTACTCTTTCTCAGAGCACCATAGTGGTCAGCTTGCTTGGGGCCCATCACGCCAGGGGTCACGCTCACACGTCCTCTGAACTCACAGGTTCAGGCTGCGCCCACAGTCAGAGGAGGCAGCGGGCACACGGTGTGGCCTCCAGGACCATGAGCTGAAACCCTCTCTCTGAATTCGAACTGTTGAACCAACCCATTACCAAGAGGCTTCCTTGACTTGCTCAAACTGCGCTCTGTGGAACCCCGAAGCAAGTCAGCTTCGGGGAGCAGCAAGTCAGAAGAAGGGAACCTGGACACTGAGGCCAGCAAAAGAAATGTACATCCATCCTGCACATTGCATGGTTCAGCAGAGAGGGTGGCAGACAGCTCACCCGGGGGAGGGAGGTGACGGGTGCACATGATGAGGTTAGACCAGGACAACTGGAAACCAAGCACAGACCCCCAGGTCCACTCACACAGGCAGAGGAGGTGAGAGACAAATGAGTGAAGGGTAAGAGTGTCCTTTGGCACCTCAGGGTCTAAGTTTTATTCAATAATCATGTCAGGAGAAAAGACTGAATACCTGAGCAATTTGTACCATCCACATATGCCCCGGATAGAGGGAGTGTCTGAGAAGCTGCAATTCCCAGTGTGATCCCCCTACGTGGAAATGAAGGAGTGCCTTCCCACGTATGAGCACATCTGAAGTAACAGCCTGCAAAGTATCTCCACTGTCCCAGGGACAGCTGACTCTAACACTGAGAGTGTTTTTCTGAGTTAGAACTGAAGGCCACCAGATACAATTTGAATAAAGAAACTTTTTATTCTCACTAATCCATTTTCTATTCCAGTGACTTGGTGCTATTCACCTAACATTGCCTTATATGCATGTATGTATGTGTGGATATATGTGTATGTATGTATATACAAAGCAGCTATCAAATCAGGATAACACACTGCAAATCTATTACTAGTGAGGGGTTCAGTACACCAATCTCCTCCCAACTATGAATTCTCCTTACCAAAAATAAAATAGCCCCAGCGCATTATACTTTTCTAGCTATTGTAAGAGTTATATGTGAATTGTGAGGCATTCCTATTTGAGATCATTAGAAAAAGAGGACACTGGGGATTGAGAGAAGGGAAGTGAGACTGCTAGGGAAAGATGGTTAGGGTTTTTTGCGAGAAGAGCTGGAAGAAAGGAGGGGAGCTGAGGCCAGGCAACCCGGGGCTTTGATTTGTCCTGTGGCTGTGTGAGTCCTGGCATGGAGTTGCAGAGGCCAAGCTGAGATGGGGGAGAGAAGTAAGCAGCATCTATCTACTCAGCCTTGTCTACTCAGAGACTTGGCACTTCTGAAATCACTGAGTTCAAGGCTCTGAGACACACACACAGAGGAATGGGATGGATGGTCACATATAGGAAAATCCTCATTATCATGTGTTACCTGCAATGGGCAAAAGGATTTATAAGAAGCCCACTGAGATCATGGAGAGGAGAGACTATGCATTTTCAATGAGCTAAGGATGGCTCTCAGGATTTGAGTCACCTAGAATTAATTTTTATTTAAGTGGTGTAAAATAAAAATTTTACATCCATTTACATTTTATATGCTATTATTGTTAGTTTAATTATAATGATATTTAAGAATTTGTATGGGCTACTGGTGATAAGGCCCCAATCCAACTGTTCCCACTTAGTGAATTCTTTTACATCAGGGATTTCAGCAGCCTGGCCCTCGTGTGGTTCTATGTGATGGACCTACCATCAGAGGTGAGATCCCAGCAGGGACCGTACAGCCCACCTATGACAGCCCCTGAGAATATGATGAGGTACCACCTGGAACTCCTTACCTTTTTTCTTTCTCTACTCATTAGCTAATTCACATTTTATATGTTTCCCATGTTCTGATCCGTTCGGGACCCCCTTCTCTCTCTCTCTCTCTCTCCAAAATTCTCCTTACGGGGTGCTGGCCAGCCACTGTCCAGGAGCCTCCCCAACCCCATTGTTCGGCGGTGGGCGAGAAAAGCACAATGTATGTCTTGGCCCAGTGAGGCAAAGGGGGACCCTGCTTTATTTTATGAAATGGGTATAAATCTTTCAAGCTTGCACTGAAAACACACAAACAGGTAACAAGTTGGTGTCCTGTCACTGTGACCCAATTTCAAAACAGAATATAGGAGCCAGAGCCTAAAAGACCATGAGGAAAACATATTTCCTGAATCAGGCTGAGAAAACACTTCCTGACCAGATACCAGTGTCTGGTACCTGGGTATTGCTTACTTCCAAGGAGCACCTGCTGTTTACCTCCAGAGAGCATCTACTATTTACCTCCAGGGAGCACCTGCTGTTTACATCCAGGGAGCACCTGCTGTTTACATCCAGGGCTACCTGCTATTTACCTCCAGGGGCACCTGCTATTTACCTCCAAGGAGCACCTGCTGTTTACCTCCAGGGAGCACTTGCTGTTTATATCCAGGGAGCACCTGCTGTTTACATCCAGGGCTACCTGCTATTTACCTCCAGGGGCACCTGCTATTTACCTCCAAGGGGCACCTGCTGTTTACCTCCAGGGAGCACCTACTGTTTACCTCTAGTGGACACCACTGCAGCTGGCACAACTCCACTTACAGAGAGCCCCCTGCGAACAGTGGTCCTGAGGGGGCGCAGCAGTACAGAGGCACTGCAGTGGCTTTAGCACCCACAGGTCGTGCCATTTGCAGACCTGAAAGAGCGGGCTTTGACAATATGCATGTGTTTGCTTTGATCTGCATGTGTGTCCCTTTTTTCTTCCCTTCCTACATTCCAATTTCAAGGTTTTAAACTCTAACACCAAAGAATCAGGAAGCATTGGACATGTGTAATGACTTAGAAAGTTGATTTTTAAAAAATTCTTGAAAATAATTAATGAGGTCACTGAATTACCTGTGCGTGCTTTGAGACCCAGTGACGGAGGACATTCAGTACTCGATTGGTGGCCGTTCTACGGATAATAAACTCTTTGTCGCATATTCTGTCAGTGTTGTTAAATCCTTAGGAGGAAAAGAAACACAAGCATGCTCTAGTTAAAGCCAGTCCCCAGGGACCTGGAAAATGTTACTTATTTTAGGACATCGGTTAACGAAAGTCACAAACAACACATTTGACAGGGCAAGTGGCTTCAGACTGCTGGGTACTCTGCTTGCTTACCTATATACCCTCAGAAGTGAGTCCAACACAGAGTTACAGGCACAGCTGAACAATGTGCATATTTATTAAAAGTCACTGATTAAAGCTAAAGCTGGTCTAATGACACTTCCATTTACACCTGTCTTGCTCTATAATATAAAGCTGAGAAGCAGTTTTAACAAGTATTTGAGTCAGCATTAGTTCATCATTTTTGTGCCAAAGTGCTATATAAACAACAACATTTGCAATACAGGTAAATGGATGGATGATGCCATATCTTAGCTTTGAGATGATACAAATAATTCACTGTGCACCCATATATCGAGAAGCAGTATTGTACAGTGATTCAGAACATGACCTCCACAGACAGCCTGTCTGGGCTGAATCTTTGTTCTCCTACCACGCAAGTTTTATCACCTCTCTGGTGCCCAGCTTCCTCATGTCCTGCAAGTGATAAAAAGCATCCCTACCCCATAGAGTTGTTGTGGAGATCAAGCTATTTAATACATGCTAAGCTTTTGAATGGTACCTGAAGCAATAGTAAGAGCTCAACATATATTACCTATTACCACAATTCAGTATTGGTTCAACGGCTTCTGAGTCCTCTCTGTGCCAGCCTATGTCTCCATTCTAGCTCTGTTTTCACTACCGGGAAACCATTTTAATATTTTTCTGCTATTTTGAAAGAGTCTGACTTCCATTCATAATTAACCACAATTAATTAGTTATAGATATCCTTTAAAAATTAAGTCAAGCCTTATGTAACTTCACTGGCAAACTTCTCAAATATTGTCTGCACACACCAATTCCATTTCCTCATCTCCAACTCCAAGCTTCTCATCCCATCTCACCACCCATACAGCTGCCATTAACTCTGTGTCCCACAGCCAAGAGACATCTATCACATCTCCATAGAAATCTCACCTAATGGTCACCTACAAGCAACTTACAGACATACTTATATCCCAGATCTTTTCTCCAAGCTCCGGTCCATATGTCCAAATTCCTCCTGACATTTTCCTCGTAGATGTTCCAAACACCTCAAATGCACTACATCTAAAAGAAAAACTCATGGCCTTTCCACTGAACCTTGTCTTCCTCTGGTGTTTCTCATCTCAGTAGGGGAACACCACCAGCCATCAGGTTCAATAAGCCTGAAACTTAAGAATCGTTCTTGGCCCATCTCTGTGCTGATTTTACCTGCTGAATAAACCTCAAATCTGTCCATGTCTTCCTACCTATGAAGCCAAAGCTGGCACCGAGCTACCGGCAGCTCTCCCCTGGTCTCCTGAAGCAGTCCTCCAGCGGGTCTCCACTGCCACTCCGGCCTCCTCAAACCTGTTCTCTGTGAGAGCCACTCCTGCTTCCTATTTCAGCTCCCCAAATAAGCCCTTCTTTGCCTGACTCAAACAAATCCCCTATTACACATCTCACTGCACCACACACATTTACTTTCTGACACATTTGCAATTTTACATTTATCTATGTGATTATCTGGTTAATATTTTTGTCCTCCATGGAGACAGGGATCAGGTATGCCTTTGCCTAGTATGAGCATGTCTGGCATGCAGCGTGTTCTGTACACAATGTATATTTGTTCAACAAATGAGTGAAAGCCTGGATAACAGAAACTTACTAAGTACTTATTGAATATAATATGGGTATAAGGACAACTGAGTGAAAGACTGAATGAACAGGTTTTCAGAGTTTATGAATGAGTTAGAAAAAAATCTATGAGTGTCTAAAGGGCAGAATCCCCATCTCCATACTCTTCTTTGAATATAGACAGATATCTTCCACCAGCCAGTAGACACTGTGGGAGAATGATGATGATAATGTGTTCTTGGCAACCTAGAGATCTTGAAAAAAATATTTTGCTATCAAAATCTTTGAAAATCTGGCCCTGGCCAGTGTGGCTTAGGCATTCAGTCCCTGCTCAGGGCGCCCACGAGAGGCAGCCAACTGATGTTTCCCTTTTGTATTGATGTTTTTCCCTCCGTCTCTCTCCCTGACTTCCCCTCGCTCTGAAATCACTAAACATGTCCTCAGTGAGGAGATAAATAAATACATACATACATACATACATACATAAATGCATAAATCTGCAAATCTGGGTAAAATATAATAAATACATTTGTTAAAATACATATCTAAGTTTTCAAGAAAACAAGAACTTTTCCAGATTCAAAGACACAGAGACATCAGAAAGCCAGCACTGAGTGAACCGATGCCGGCTGCCCTGAGAAGGGGGCAGAAACTCGTGCTGGTAACACAAGGCTTAAATTTTAATACCCACATGGATCAGCAGAGGAAGCCCCAGGGCCTTCATGAAATGCAGATGAGGGCATGGAATCTGAGACTCCCACATACAGCTGGAACCCTCAAAAGATCATCCGCTTTATAAGAGAGTGGGCTAGCAACAAAAATTCTCCAGCCTACTCAAGGAGACGGTTAAGAAACTTGTCTGCCTCCACCTAGATCTCAGTGGGGCTGGAAACAGCTTCCCTGAGCCTGCTAACCCCTGGCCCCCCTCAAGCAGGTTTGAAGCTCAGATTGAACAAGGCTCATGTGGTCTGCCCCTCCAGCTGAGAAGTTAAAATAGAAAGTAGCCCAGGCCGGTGACAGCCACAGGGCCCCCGACAAAAGCACACACAAAAGCTCTCCAGAGGGACACATGCTCACCCTCAGCCTTTACTGGGTTACCACCGAGAAAGCCCCTGAAGAGAAACTCACACTCCACCGTGAGTTTCCTCACTCACTCACTCTTCACTACACAACACACAATCCCTCCACCATGAACAAGGATCAGCAGACACAGGAATCAGGAACTTTTCACCTCCTCTGCCACTACTACCAAGAATTTCAGGTACTGGAATTAAGAAAACCAAAATTAGAATGTTTACAAAAACTACAGATATAATAAAGTGGGAACTGAAAATGTGAGGAAAGAATAAAAACATTTTAAAAGTCAAAGTTTATGAGAGCCATATAAAACTCCTTTCAATTAATAAATTATTATTATTTCAATTATTGTTGAAAAACAGACAAGGTAAAATTTAAAACCCAACTGATAGATAAACGCAGGCTAGAGGCAGCTGAATAAAGAAAGAGAAAACTAGAAAGAGATATGAAAAATAGTTCTGAGAAAACTATCCACCAGCAGTACAAATAGAGATGAAAACAGAAAAGAGGGGTAGAGACCAGTGGTAAAGAATCAGAATTTACAGCACTCGTCTAGTAATGTGTCAGGAGGAGAGACACAACGTCAGAGAGAGGCAACAGAGGAAAAGGGTTTTCAGACTGGATGAAAGACACGAATCGTCAGGCTCAGGAATCACAAAGAATTCTGAGCCAGAGAGATAAGTGAAAACCACACCTCAACACTCAGAAATGGCAGAACTCTAAGGAAAAGATATCTGTGAAGCAACTGACGAGAATATATATGTTATCCAAAAAAGACAGGCAGATGAAGAGCATGGGAAATGGGAAGGTATATTAATTAACTGAATTAGAGGAAAGGCCTGAACTGGAGTGAGAGCCAGGAGATAATGAGACAGCCTTTTGGGGAGGGTGTCCAAAGCTCTTAAAACACTGAAAAAGCAGATGAGCAGCTCCCTGCCCACATGGATAACTGAAAAGATGGCTTAGTCAGTGAGACAAGAACAGAAAACATGGGAGGTGGGGTGAGAAAGAGACAGAAATCAAAGTAAAATGGCAAAAGAAAAAAGCAGTTTTCAAGAGAGCCATCTATGCCTTTAAAATACTTTAGAAAAGAATCATATACCAACACTGTCCCTTGAGTCTGTGTCAGGGGTGGGCAGAGAGGGGAGCTTATTTTGAAAGACAGGCAAGAAAAGCAGGGAACTTTCTTCTGCTCTCCAGATTATTTAGCATCACACATAAGAAGGCCACATAAGTGTTTTCTTTGTAAATTCTCCAAAAGTTTCATAAGTTCAAATCCCAACCTCTATTACCATTTAGGTTAGTGCGATAGCACTGCTTGGATGTTCTTTGTAACTGTTGCTAATAACCACACTTTTTAAGAAATATGTTTTTACTGATTTCAGAGAAAGGGGGAGGGAGAATCAATATGTGGTTGCCTCTTGTGTACCCCCAGCCCAGGAGCTGGTCTATAACCCAAGTATGTGTCCTGGCTGGGGATTGAACTGGCGACCCTTTGGTTCGCTGCCCAGCACTCAATCCACTGAGCCACACCAGCCAGGGAAAACCACATTTTTTAATGTAGAACTTTTTAAATGTGGATGTAGCTTGGTAAGTTCACAAACATCTCTTTGCTGTTTGGAACTCGTCACTTTCTGCCACTGGCACTGCTCAAAAATTCCCTTCGAAGTGACCAGGTACTCACTTAAGTGACCTTCAACAATGCCCACTCAATGCAGCCTCAGCAGCCCACAGCTGGTGGTGAAGATGGCCGGAGCACAGCAAAAGGGTCAGCTCTGGAAGGACCAGCCTTTCAAGTGCTGCAGGAGCACCAAGCACCAGGGAAGGAAAACTCCAAAGACTCACCTCCCACCACACCCTTCACGGGCCAGGCCACCCCTGATGTGACTCCAGGATGAACCAGAAGTAAAATTCAGGGCAAATTAGTTAACCTCTCTGTGGCTCAGTTTCCTCACTCTTAACAAGAGGGAAATAGTGTTGCCACATAAGGTTGTAAATAAGAAATATATTTACTATAAAAATATATAAATATGGTTCTCATCCAAAGCTGCCTTCATCCACCCATCATCCCCTTGGCCCGGTGGCCCTCACAATATACTTCTGACATGTTAGTTATCATAGTGATAACTAACATTTAATTAATTGAACTAGAAGAAAGGCCTGAACTGGAGTAAGAGCCGGG